TACCAGTAAAATGATAAGTTTTTCGAATAGAGAACAGTTCCCAAAAGAAATTTTCCGACTGTCAAAATAAAAAAAATCATTTTTCTGAAAATATATTTGTCGAAAAATAGTCAAGAGTGAAATAAGGTTATGATGCACTCAAAATAATACTATATCGGAGATAAATTAGTTTTATCGATTATTGAATAATACAGACAGTCTTGACTTTTCATCATATTCAGATATGATTTATCACAACTGAAGCAATGCTTTAAAGTTTTCATATTGGATACAAATCACTTTTCTTCTAAAATATTAGTAATTGCCTTAAACCGTGATGTAACCAAGGAGTGTCAGCTGAAGATTTGAAGGTTAGAATGCGAGTGATAGGTTAGTTATAGGGTTAGCATGATAACGAACTTTTCTATGTTTGTACCTTGCTTTGACTGGTGTCATTGCAACATGGCAAATAATTTGTTATGTGTATCAAGAAGAAAAAAAACAAAGGTTAAGCTAAACAGCGACGTAAACAGACTAAATGATCTAATATTATCCGTATCTGGAAGATATAATCTTTGTTAGCTAAATTTCTATATTAGAAAGTTTTCATGTAGAAAACAATTATTTCTCGTTATTGACGATCTTGCGTCATATTTTCTGTTTTTTAAAATCATTTTATCTACATAAAATAAATCGAGCTTACAAAATATTTAATCAATTCATTACGACTAAAAACATTGCATACAAAAAAGAGTAGAAATAAATATGCTTAACATAGTTGTTGATATTTGATTTTTGAAATAAAGTAAATATAGTAGTTTTCCAGTCAGTTACTGAACTTCTCTAAGTAAAATTTTTCCCTCTGTTCTATTACAAGCTGTCTAAATAAGAGAACATTGGTTTATTCATTCATTTCTATGTCAAAATAATTTGAGAATAGCTTTTCAACCAATATGCATCAGAAATCTGTCTAGTCAAAGTCATTTGCAGTCATTTACTCTGAGTCATTTTGTATTTTTAATTTAATTCATGTAATTTCTAATGACACATATTAAAGCATTTAGCGAGTCATTTTATTTTGTAGTTGTGTGATTAGACGAATACAGCAACATCGCATTGCTTTCTTTCTTGCTTTGTTTTTTTCTGATATCAGAAGTAAAACATTCGAAAATAACTTTTTCCTTTCATGTATAGTATGTATTGACATCACAATGATGACGATGATTAAGAATAAGCGACTATTAGCTTTTCTAGTTATGAGATTTCTTCGCTTAGTTATCACCTAGACGGACAAACTATGTACATAATTCAATTTGAAAAAGTTGAAATAACTAGAATCAATCATTTTTTGTCTGAAGTAGAGTTTCAATAGTTAAATTTAATCATATTCATTGAATATTACAAAGATTTGAAGAAGTATTTAATTTCTAACATAATCGTCTAATTCTATTCTACATAAAAGGCATCTGACTATTATTTGAATAATTTTTTTATCGAAACAATGATAGTGATTGGAGATTGTTGTTTATTTAAAAGTGTAACTTTGAAAAATATTTGTTTGCAAAATTAAACAAATCAGTCGCATATATAAATACTATAATCTTCCAAATTATGCTACAGCTCATATTGTTATGGAATTTATGTTATTTATCAATTGATTAGAATATCCAATTGATATGCTATGCAATCGGTCAAATTGTAAAATTCTGTCGTATATGATATTCATACATAATGAACTTTACTTTACATATCAGCACTGAATCTCAATTCTGAGAAATGCTTTCTATAATACTATAATTTCTGAATCATAATCCATAATAAAAAAAAAAACTATTAATCTACATACTTACATATATCAAAATGGTCAAACAAATTTTAGATTGTTATAATTGTTTATTGTCTCTTTTCTTTGGTTTTTATATAACTAAAGAAAAAAAAGGAGGTCTTGAGGGAGTGATGGTAGAGTTAGGTGGTTGAATAGTAATTATGATAAACCATTACTTTCGGACCTGAGACAGGTCATGAGAGAGTAATGGTAGAGTTAGGTTGTTAAATAGTTTTCAAGATAAACCACTACTTTCGGACCTCAGAGAAGTCATGAGTGAGTAATGGTGAAGTTAGGTTACAATCATATGAATATTAAAATGAATAGATAAACCATCACTTTCGGACCTCCGTACATTGTTAGAATAAAACTGTATGTTAAGTTGAAATCAAATTGATATTGAGTAATAAAGTTTCGACATAACACAGAAGATAAAAAGAAAATTTCCTATGAAAGACATTTCTCTATGTAGATGTCAGATTCTTTCAGTAATTACTCAACATCAAATATGCTTTAGTGTTGACAGCATGTGTGTTTATGAGTATGAAGAAGAGGTTTGAGAATAATGGGTTATCATAGAATATATTGTGATTCATAATTTCATATCACTTAAATAAAACCATAATTTTTCGAATTAAAAAGAGGTTATTTTATAAATGTGTTATACCAGAGTTTTAATTCTTTTTCGTTTTGCTTGGCTGCAATTGAAGAGAAGACTAACACACCCCACAGTCAACTAAGTCAAATGGAATGATATCAAACAAAGTGTTGCCTTCGATAAATGATGACTTTAAATACCTATAGATCCTTGTCGTTTTTCTTATAATTCTACTACTCTAGATTTGTAACCATTAGAAATGGTGATCAGTAGGGGTGTCGAATTAGCATTAGAATTGCATTAATTAATACTTTTTTTAATGCTTTTGTATTAAAATTAAAAAATTAACTTAATGCTTTTGCATTAGTGTTAATTTTGTATTAAGAAAATACTAATATCTATCATGATCGTGCAATTCGTTTATAGAACTGACATTATAGTTTTACCAGCAGCTTCTCTATAGTGGAATTCTCTTTGTAACATTTCTATACAGAGAAAATGTCGTGTATGCACCAGGATGACATATATGTACATTTATAGTTCTTCAGAAAGCATAAATATTATTATCAGATATCGATATTGTAAAAGGAAAACTCAATCTAAGGGTCATTGAGCAAGAATGAATCGTACATCACTTGACTTTCATATGTTAGATGTCAAAATGACTGAATATTTTTCAATGAAACATGCAGAAAATCTTTTTTTTTTATTAGCATGATTATTATTCTGTAAACTTTTACTTAATATGTGCTGCTCCTAAGCCTCTCCACAGTTATAGAGCACAAAAAATTCATTTCAGTAGAATCACTTCACTATGTGTAGTGTTCTAAAGTAAATATTTAGTATGAGAAATTAATTGAAGAGATGTTTTACTAATTTATGAAACTGTCAAGTATATGAATGCATCTACTTATCAGTGTTTGAATAACCAACAACGACTATAAGAAACACATATGATAGATAAAATTTAAAAAAAAAGACTATAAAAAAATCCGCATCCAGTTCATTGTAGTGGTTGATGGACACATTGTCGAAGTTTTTTGATATTTTTTTTCTTTTTTTAGACCATTAGGCTTCGTAATGACAATGAGGACAAGGATGCTCGTCGTAAATTCTTAATTGCACCGGCAACACTGAATGTTTGTTCTAAATAAACAGATGTTGCTGGCATCACGTTTTATCGGCGTGCAAGTTGACTTAGACGTGGTAGTGTACGAGCATTGTTTTCCAAAAATGTTTGGAAATTTATCCATTCATTATCTCGAATTAAATTAAGGGGGATCCACTCCCCCCCCCTCTCCCTCCAGAAAATTCAATTTTTTCGAAGATGAGTCAAAATTGAACTTTTATCATAGGAAGATGCACCGAAGTCTTCTCTTTCAGAATATCTATGGTTTATCGAAAAATGAATTGATTTTGACGAACTTATCGTCTAAAACTTCGCTCCTACTATCATATTTTTTAGGAAATTTTCACGGCTTTTTTCCAGCTTGTTCGATTTTTTAGGCTGCTTTCTCTTTGCATCAGCGTTTCGTAAAGTTTTTTTTTAATACTAATCACTAAGAGACTATGAACACTTAATATTAAGATCACGTATTTATAGCCTATTTTGAACATTGACATATAAATCAGGTGATTTTCGGAAAAATCGCTTTCTAATACTTATTTTTCGTTTTTCTCAAAATTAGGTTTTTCGTCATGTAATTTATGCGGGCAAGTTTTTCTCCATAACGACTCGACATGGAAGTGATAATTTTTTTTTATTATATAGGAGACATGTAGGGCTAGGTCTTAACAGGCTCCGATTTTTAAATTTCTCTTTTGCTGAAATAAAAAACTTAGATAGTTCATTTCTATTAGCACCTTGAATTTGAATATTTTTCGAAAAACGTTCTTTAAAAATCAAATAAAGGGAAATTCAAAAATTGGATCCTGTTAAGTCCTAGCCCTAAGGGTACTCTACAACTTGGAAACCGCCATGGCTTGTTAGCTCGTGTCCTTATTGTGAAATCCTTGCCCGCGTAAGGGGTAATGAATTGACTAGAACTTGTGCATTTCTTTGAGATTTGGGGGAGATATTTTAACCATAAGGTATTCTAGTCAAGACTAACATTCTCTGAAATTTTGGTTGAAATCGAATGAAAAATGGCAAAGTTCGTTTCTGAGGGGGGGGGGGGGG